CAAGAAGGGGTTTAAAGGATCAAACCTAGAAGATCAATGCACTCATAGGTATGTGTATATGCAAAATACATCCAGGTTATAAATCACGTATAATCTCATATTTTGTTAAGTTGGTATATTAATTGATTTCCATCTGAATTTTGGCATTTAGATATAAGATCTACATAGAAGGGGAAGCGTGGTCGGTGAGCGAGAAATATATACTTTCATGTGATAGTATGACTTTGTTGGTTAAACCAGAATATTACGATTTTTTCATAAGAAGTATGGTCCCAATGAAGCATTACTGGCCTATTAGACAAATCAACAAATGTGGTGACCTCAAATTCGCTGTTGAATGGGGTAACAACAACACCGACAAGGTAAGCAATATTTATAAAATGTCTAATGGAAACTATAATGCCTTATTTCAATTCAAAGCAGTGATCAATGCTCTTTCAAATTATCTTGTAATACATAGAATATAATGTTATAACGCATCGTCATCACTCAGTTATATGTTGACCTTGTTGTGATGGTCTTACTCATATTAATATATATAGGCACAAGTTATAGGGAGGCAAGGAAGTGATTACATAATGAAGAATCTAGAGATGAAGTATGTATATGACTACATGTTATATGTATTGCAAGGCTATGGAAAACTGATGAAGTTGGATGTGACTGTACCTGAAAATGCGACCGAAGTGTGTTCGGAGACGATGGCTTGTCCGATCACTGATGGTAGAATGATCAGGGAGTGCATGGATGACTCGTTGGTTATGTCTCCAAGCGTCATGCCTGCTTGCGTTTTGCCACAACCATATGGAGATGGTGAGCTCGAGAGGTTTCTTGAGAAACAAGAAAGTGCGGAGAGGGAGGTCGAGAAGTGGACCGATGAGTATTGGAACTTGAGAAGTTGGAAATAAAATTTAATTTCTTCAATCTTGGGAATATAATGTAACTTGTGATTTTGGTTTGCTTTTGTATGAATCTCAATATAATCCAATTTTGCTAATATAATTTCAACTAGGCCTTAGTATTTGGATATTTAGTTCGGTTTCAAATAAGATAATTCATCGAATAAATCATTCTTAAATCCAATAGGTACTTATAAAATTTTGGTTCGGTTTCAGTTGACTCCAGTTCGATTTTAGTTTGGTTTCGGATACTCCTTTAATATGTGAGTCAAATATATATATATATTAGTTAATATGTTAATTTAAATGCTATATTACTTACTGCTTACATATTTCGGTTCGGTTCGGTTTTTTTATTGGTTTTTTTTTGGCCCAGGCATATTAGTTTCCACATTGAATGAGAAGGCTCATGTGAGAGTAACTTCATCAAATAAGAGACTTGAGGCCAAAAGAATCCAACATGCATAGTTGCATACACGAATACAGGGGTAATATCGTAATACCAAGACACTACATGATTGCCACTCCAAATCAGAATTAATGACAACTAATATTTTTACTTAATACCAAAATTAATGATTGGCTTCACGACTAAATTACAGATAAGCGTGTTACTAATCTTTAATTAAAGACAGTCAACGATTAATTAACATAAAACAAATTCTCCCGGGGAATAAACATCTGCCAAGTCGCCTTGTAAGACAAGTCTCCACGATCTCACAAGAAACTTTCAAAACCTCTGCTCCTGTCTCCTGAGAAAAAAAAAACTAAAACCATTTCTCTTGAGCAAAAAGTCAATGAGTAACCTAAAACTTGGCGTTGAAGTCATAAGCGCAAAGCTCAAACCTAGAGATGAGAGAACTCATCAAGGAGATGGATATGGTGGCGTTAACGCCTTCGTGGAGCTACGATTCGACGGTCAGATTGTCAAAACCTCGACAAAGCTCGACGACGCGAGTCCTGTCTGGAACGAGAAGTTCTTCTTCAACATCTCAGATACAGAGGATCTATCGAATCTGATTCTTGAGGCTTACGTTTACAACAAAACAAGCAGTACAACGAAGTCATGTCTCGGTAAGATTCGGATCTTCGGAACTGCTTTCGTGCCTTACTCTGAAGCTGTCGGGATGCATTACCCTCTTGAGAAAGAGAAACGGAGCGTTTTCTTTTCTGCCGTTAGTGGTGAGCTTGCGCTGAAAGTGTATGTAACTGATAGCCCCTCTCTCAAGGTACCGTATATAAACCCTACAAAGAATGTTACTTCTAACACAAGGCACAAGTTTCACAACGTCCCTAAAATAGAAACTAGTAAACCTAGCCAATTAAGAGATCCGCAAACGCCTCAACCGCAAACGCCACAATCGCAAATGCCTCAACCGCAAACGCCACAACTGCAAATGCCTCAACCGCAATCGCCAAAATCGCAACCGTTTCAAACGCAATCACCACAACCGCAATCGCCTCAACCGCAACCGTTTCAAACGCAACCGCCATATGGTAACGGACCTTCTAGGTTTCAAGCGGAGAGATATGGTTCTCCGGTACCGGAAACAATGGGATTTGAACCTACTCCACCAGATTATTCAATCAAAGAGACGAATCCAAATCTTGGAGGAGGCAGACAAGCAAGAAACACCAGAGCTAACGATCTCGTAGAGCCAATGGAGTTTCTTTACGTCAAAATAGTGAAAGCTCGGAATCTTCCGACAATGGACAAAACCGGAAGTCTAGACCCTTACGTAGAAGTCAAACTCGGAAACTTCACAGCCAAGACAAAACACTTCGAGAAAAACAAAAACCCTATCTGGAACGAAGTCTTCGCCTTCTCAAAATCCGACCAACAATCAGACTTTCTCGAAGTCATTGTCATGGACAAAGACATAATCAAAGACGACTTCGTCGGTTCAATCCGGTTCGATCTAGAAGACATTCCGACACGTGTTGCACCAGAGAGTCCTTTAGCTCCAGAATGGTACATAGTCAATGTAGAGAAAGGAGGAGAGATTATGTTAGCGGTTTGGTTCGGTACACAAGCAGACGAAGCGTTCTCAGACGCGACTTACTCTGACGCTTTAACCGCTTTAAACAAATCGAGTTTGCGTTCTAAAATCTATCATTCTCCGAGGCTGTGGTATCTTCGCGTTACCGTTATCGAGGCACAAGACTTGGTTATCGTACCAGACCGGACTAGACTTCCAAGTCCTTATGTTAAAGTCAAATTAGGTAACCAAATGGTTCGAACCAAACCGAACCAGTTGCTTAACCCGAGATGGAACGAGGAGTTTACACTTGTCGCGGCTGAACCGTTTGAAGATCTTGAAATCTCGATAGAAGACCGGGTTGCGGTTAACCGAGAGGAAACACTTGGATCGGTTAAAATACCGTTTGAGATAATCGAAAGACGGGTTGATGATAACCGGATAGTACCTAACCGTTGGTTTAGTCTTAAGTTTGAGAACCAAAGGAGAGTCAGAGTGGCTACTACTAGGCTTTTGCTGAATGTTTGTTTAGAAGGAGGCTATCATGTTCTTGATGAGTCTACTTACTACAGTAGCGACTTTAGACCGACAATGAAAGAGATGTGGACACGTCAGCAGCCGTCGCTCGGTGTTCTTGAAGTAGGGATTCTTGGAATTGAAGGTTTAAATGTGAGTAATGATGGAAAGAAAGAGACGTTAGATGCTTACTGTGTGGCTAAGTATGGGACCAAATGGGTCAGGACAAGGACCGTCAGCAACTGTTTTAACCCGCGGTTCAACGAGCAGTACACATGGGAGGTTTTTGAGCCAGCGACCGTGATCACAATCGGTGTTTTCGATAACAATCAGATCAATGGTGGTAACAATAAAGATGGGAAGATTGGGAAAGTTAGAGTTCGAATCTCGACTCTTGAATCAGGTAGACTCTACTCTAACTCTTATCCGCTTCTGGTTCTCCGGCCTTCTGGTGTCAAGAACATGGGTGAACTACATTTGGCGATTCGGTTTACTTGCACGTCCATGTTTCAGATGCTGGGTCAGTACTGGAAACCAATTCTTCCCAAGATGCACTACGTTCGACCGTTGAAAGTAGTGCATCAGGAGATTCTTAGACAGCATGCTGTTAGCCTAGTGGCGGCTCGGTTAAGTAGAACTGAACCGCCTCTTAGAAAAGAAGTGATTGAATACATAACTGGTTCGGATTCTCATTTCTGGAGCATTAGGAAAAGCCGAGCGAATTTCTTTAGACTAAGATCTGTTTTATCCGGTTTACTCGGTACCGGAGAATGGTTTCAAGATATATGCACTTGGAAGAAACCGGTAGCGTCAGCAGCGGTTCATGTACTCTACTTAGCATTTGTGTGTTTGCCAGAGATGATTCTCCCCATAACATCTCTTTGGTTGTTCATGCTTGGTTTATGGAACTACAGACGACGCCCGAAACAACCTCCACACATGGACACAAGACTTTCATTTGCAGACAACATTCACCCTGAAGAGCTTAACGAAGAGTTTGACACGTTTCCATATTCTTCTCAAGACCCAGCGGTTGTGAAACTGCGGTACGAGCGGTTGAGAGGTATAGCGAGCAGAGCACAAACTGTTGTGGGAGATATTGCTGGTCAGGGAGAGAGAGTTCAAGCTCTGTTAAGCTGGAGAGATCCAAGAGCAACGTCCATCTTCATGGTGCTTTGTTTGGTTTCTTCTGTGGTTTTGTTTGTTGTGCCGTTTAAGGTTTTTGTTCTTCTTGGTGGATTGTACATCATGAGACATCCAAGATTCAGGCGAAAGACACCTCCTGGTGTTGTTAACTTCTTCAAAAGACTTCCTGCTAAAACAGATTGTATGCTGTAGAATGTAAAAACATATACTACCTCTGTTTAGTTAAGATAAAAAAAAAAATTAGCATTTTAAACATAAAGAAAACAAATCAAACCTTTCTCATAAATGCATCTATTTTTGTTTTTATAAGTTTTCAATAACTTTAAATCAATAATAATTTTGAAAAAAAAAATAATTTTCTTAAATTCTACAAATTTTATTATTAATTAGTAAATATTTCATAGAAAACTCTAAAATATTATCTTTTTAAAACCTTTTTTTAAAAAATTTCTATCTTAACCGAAAGGAGGAAGTATGAAACAGATGAAACTTTTTGCAATTCAATCAAGAATCCAAAAGCTAAAGAACACACATGAGTTCTGAAAATCACTACAAGTCTTTTCTTGTCCTAAACATTAACCAAAAGACATTTTCCTTAGAGAGGTTAGCTTTTCTTCTTCTCCTAGATTCAATGCTTGATCTACTACACATATGAATCATCATCCACGCATTAGATCAATGTCCATATGAGCATGATGCATATCCATTGATCTTGAACCAGTTGACCACATCCCTACAGGAGTCTGGACTAGGCTTTGTTGAGGAACAGGAGGAGGTGAAGTTGGTGCTGTGTTGTCATTGTTCTCCAACGCTTCAGTGTCTTGTTGCACATCTTCAGAAGTTTCATCTCTTTTTTTAACCTTCCCTTTTGGAACCGCCCAAAGGAAGCTCCCAACTATAACCTATTAAGGAAGCAACACACAAGTTTAGAACAATGCAACTAAAATAATTTGATGGTTACAAGTAGCTCACCTGAACAGGGCTTGCTGCTATCAAAGGCCCTCCAATTCCACCACCAATGACACGACCATCAGGGCTAGCGAGTGAGACTGATAGGTTTCCAGTGCGGTTAGAGTTGTCATTGTCAGGTGCGTTCACATATGATATTGAGAGAGATAAGAGCTCAAAACGACCCTAGAGATCATACACCATCCATCATACATGAGTAATGTTTCTTGTCTGGTAAAGAATAATAATAAAATATCAAAACCTCGTATTTAATAGCTCCATGAGATGGAGATGGTGATGGCTGAAGGATAGTTGCAGTAGAGACAGCACCACTAACAGATAACACACAAGTTGCTCTTGGACCTTGCTGCGTAAAAGCCATAACCTTTGATGCAATGTCCTGAAAAAAAACAAAAACAAAACTCAAGAGTGATGATAATATTAAAGACTATCTCAAGAAAAGCCTAAAAAAAGAACAAGAGTTAAATCACTTACTTCACCAACGGAAACTGCAATTACATGCGGTGTGAAGCTCATCCCAGACGATGAAGACATTAATTCACCTTACAAAACAAACCAAAACATAAGTTTAATAAACAAAAGCTTAAGACAAAGACCCTAGAATAAAAGATTATATTTTTACACACACTTGAGACATTAAAATATTCTAAAACTTTAACTAATCCTCAAAAGAGCCTAAAGATTATAACTTCCCACCATAAACTATATAGTATAATCTGTAACTCAATAAAGCTCATCCCAGATGATGAAGACATCAATTCACCTTACATAACAAACAAACATAAGTTTAATAAACATAAGCTTAAGACAAACACCCTAGAATAAAAGATTATATTTTTACACACACTTGGGACATTAAAATATTCTAACACTTTAACTAATCCTCAAAAGAGCCTAAAGATTATAACTTCCCACCATAAACTATATAGTATAATCTATAACTCAATAAAGGTCATAACTTTCCACTGTTTTCAAAGCCGTTCAGACATAAAAGAGAGAGACTTTTACCAGTGGAAGCAAGTCTTTGCTTCTTGCCTGAACCAGGAGGTCTACCACGGCCACGTTTGTTAGAATTCGGGGAAGTGGAGGCTGAAGGAGACAATGCCAAGGAAACAGGACTGTCTTGTCCGTATTTCCTAGGCCGTCCTCTCTTCCTCTTCTCACCAGACTGAGGAGGAGCAACCGCAGAAGAGTCAGCAGGAGAAGACTCAACTTGTAAAGGAGGAGACACGAAGGGAGTAGAGCCGCCGCCGCCGCCGCCGCCGCCTACTTGGTTTAGGTTTGGGGTTGAGAGGAAAGGAGAGTTGGGGTTTGAGAAATGGTGAAACCCTTGTGATCCATGAAAGGGCTGTTGTTGTTGTGTCTGTGGAGGAGGAGGAGGAGTAGAACCAGGCATGCCTCTTTGGATGTAATAAGAACCCATTGCGTCTCTTCGATCCATAGCTTCTGACCTTTTTTTTTTCTTTTTTTTTAACTAAAGGGACCTTATAAAGGTTCGAACTTTGTGGCGGCTAATAAAAAAAAAGATCTGATAAAAAGGGATAAGAGCAAATCAGAATCTTAATGGGTTTGATAAGGTTTTTAAAAGAGATATGGACTTGGAGGGTTTAGGTATATAACATGCAAAACAGAAAAATTTCTCAAAGCTTATCAAAACACACACTAAGTAGATCCAGAAGAGGAGGGAAAGAGCTCAATTTTCTTTCTCTATTTCATTAATGAGCTTTCTTCTTCCATGAACAATGGTGAAGAAGAAAAGGGTTTGCTTTTCTTTTTCTCTCTCTCTCTCACTCTGTCTGGTTCTTGTGTGAGTATGTGATGTTGCTTTATTTTTTTTTGTTGCTTTACTGGTGAGAGAGGGAAGCAGAAGAAAACAAAATAACTATCAATCAGATCCCTACTTGAAAGCATTTACTGTGGATAACACACAATAGTATAATTTGATTTTTTGTTTCAAAAAAAAAAAGAGTATAATTTGATTTTTTTTTTCAAATTCAAAATTAAAAAACTTCATGTCTGACTTTGACTGTAAGCTCTCTCTCTTTCTCTCTCTCTTGAGTAGATTTCTTTCTAGCATCTAGCAATGTATTAGGAGTGTGGCTAAATTTGAAAGACTACTGATTGAGGCGCGTGTGTGGAATGAGACATGAGAGAGAGTTTAGAGAGTGGAGTTCACGGGTCAAGAGATAAGAGTGAGAGAGTGTGATGTGATCTAGTCAAGACTTGTTCCTCTCTGGATTCCACTTCTTCATAGCTTATTGATGATGAATGATGCTGAAAAAATACTGGCAAAGCTTTACATTTTTTATCTAAAATCTGTTTCTTTTCTCTCAAAGATTAAATCTTTAGATTCTAACTATATACTTTGCTATAAATACCTGAGAATGTAACTAATACATTCATTAAAGAGAATGAATGAAAAACTGTCACTTTGTGGATATATTAACTATTGTTCTTGTCCCACTCCACATTAATCTCCTTTTTTTTCTTTAAAATCAAGCCGTTTGATCAATTTAGAACCAAGAAAACACAATACAGAATCAAAACTTCAGACCTCATGTGAAAATGTCAACAATCAATATAGATTCCTCAACCTAATTTCCAATTATGAACAAGAGTTATTCCAAAACCTTGATCTATAAACATTAAGTTAGAAGAGCCATACATATAAAGCCTCCTAACATTAATGGAACACAGATTAATGATGTAATGTTGTTTTTGAGCAATTTGAAAAACTAGTGTGCTTTTCATATGTAACCCAAAAAAAAATTATGCCCAGTGTTTGAGCAGCTTTAGTTTTAGCAGCTGTAGAAATCCACCTTTATTTTTTCCTCTTACTACTACCATCAACATCTTGATAAAACAAAATCAAACACACCCTAGATCAAGAACTACTCTTAAACTCTTCATTTAATGGATCAGTGTAATGTTCATCCTCGCTTCCTATAAACTTGGTAAAGCCCATCTTAAGAAACTAAGGCCCAATAGAAGGTATACAACAGATCTCTTAAGATAAAATGTAGGTTTTGTTTTTGATCTTAGACGATACATAGAGAGATCTGTTGGTACCTTTCTTGAATCTTTAAACTCTTACATTACTTCTTGCCATATGAGTCTTGTTTTTGATCTATGCAGGAATCAAAGATGTTACTTTTTATTGTATACAAAACTAAAGCCCATCTTAAGATGTTAGTTTTTTCTGATGTATACAAAACTCTCTTGGCTGAGTAAACTATAGAAGCCACTTGAAAGCAAAAACAGAGTACTGAGGTTGAAAATTATTTAAATTTTTTTGCCAATGTTTAAAAAAAAAAGCTCTGGTTGTGCCATTGCACTAGAAAGGTCAACTAAAGATCGTTGACCTTTGCAGTGGCAGTGAAACTGTACAAAGATAAAAAAACAAAAGGTTAAAACAAAGATCCTTTATCACAAGCTGTTGCTGTTCTGTTCCTGCATTGGTTCAGCTCTGATGATCTCTTCTAATAAATCATCAAGGATCAATTCACTTGTACCGGAACCAATCCAACCAATATCAAACCGGAGATCCATCCAGCTTCCTGGTTTAGCCATGTCTTTCTTCACTATCTGATCTAAAGTGTGAGGAGAAGGCAAAGGTAAGAGATGCCAGTAAACCCCTTCTTGTGCCACTTTAGCTGCAACTTCCACGTCTGAGATTAGCTGAACTTCAGGTTTCAAGAACGTAATCCAAGGCCCTGGATTCAACTCATTCTCACAAAAGTCCATTAGAACTTCATTGATACAGTCGTTGAGGAGATTCTTGTCATCACAGAGATGTGTTGAGCAGAAAGCTATGTCATCTGTTGATTCTAGCTCAAGAAACTGTTCAGAGTAAAAGGGTCTAATCAAAAGCTCTTCCCAGCTCAAGCCTGAGGATTTCACAATGTCTTCAATGTATGCAAGTGTCAACTCCTTGTCATTCATGCTTGTTTTGAGATTGCTGAGTTTGTCTTGTTTTGGAGAGTCAGCAGCTTCATCGAATCTTATACAAAGTGGTTGTATCCTCATTTCACCTGAATGTGATTCAAAAAAAATAAACAGTAAGAAACCAAGTTCTGTAAGAATCAAACCTCTTGTTCAATGCATACATACCTGAACTGAATCTTGTGTTTGTTGTTGGGCTACTCTCATCATCTGTAAACAGAGGCTCAAGGATAGATACTGGACTTAACTCTCCCTGCACATCAGAGACAGTTTCTTTGCATTCAGTCATCTTAACTGAAGAACTTTGTGGAGATTCTGGAGGAGAAGATAGTGTATGCACTTGGTTCAACATCATTTCCTGAGACAAGATAAGGCATGAAAGCATGAAACACAAACTCAAGAAAACAGCATCACATACACCAAGCTGTCTAACCTTATTCAATTGTTGCTTATCTCCATCTTCTTCACAACATTCAAGCACATGTTCATCAATATGGGCATCTTGTCTGGAAATGGAAGAGCTGCTAGTTTCAGATAATGGTTCTGTCTTGTCTGGAAGCATTGAATGATCTATGGGAACAGAGACATCTATGGTAAACAATGTCTCATCATCTTTATCTGAATCTTCTTCACTGCATTGCAGAATCTCTGGTTCCTCGGTTGTTTGGCTTAAAGGGCTAAGAGAGCTAACCAAATCATGAGCTGGAATCAGTCTAGGGCTGTCTCTTGGTGATGAGAACTCAGGGAGAGAAAGAATCTTCCCCAAGATTCTTGGTACTTCCTTATCAGGTAAGTTCACATCTATATCTCCATTTGCAATCATCTCAGACAAGTGTTTCCTTGCTGCAATATACAAACCTGACATTATCTTCTTTGAATCTTCACTACATAATGGTTCTTCTTCTTCATCTGAAACATGCTTCCCGGATTTACTCTGTATCTTTTCTTGCACGCAAGGGTTTTGGCTCTTATCAACATGTACATCACATGACTTCTTTCCAACGGCAGATTGTACCAGTCTTCTTTTGATTAAACCGGTAATAAACCGGGAAAAGGTTCTCCCGGTTTTGGACTTAGTGTATGCAGAATCAACATCTAAACCATTTGGAGCAGGTTTTAGAACAACAATAGTTTTTGCAGCCTGAGATGTTCTGTTTCTCCTCTCTTCTGATCTCCATTTCTTGCTGAAGAAGTTACATTTCCTCTTTGGTAACACCACAGCCTCTTCTTCTTCCTCTACTCTCTTGGAACCTCTCAAGCTTTGAGCATCTTCATGTGAAATCTTCTTCTTGAGGAGTGGTGACTCTTCTTCAGAACCCAAAACGTTAAAAGCTTCCAACAAGTCCTTACATGTTTGGATCTCTCCTTCTTTCTGAGCTATCAACCGCTTGATTATCTCTCTGAATTTTTCTTCAGATTCATCCTTAAAAACCCTATTCTCTACATGTTCAGCACCAGCAATAGAAACATTTGTATCCTCTTCAATAAGTTTCTGAACACTCTCATTATTACCTGCATCAGTTAGTTATATGTTATAGCAGAAAGTAAGTAAGAATCTTCAAGACATATGTTTAATGAAAACCTGCAAATCTTTTGCTTCTATGTTTCTTATCCATCAAGAGACGTTTCTGGTTAGATCCAGAGATGCTGATGAACATCCACATGCATCCTATTTGATTTATACCTTCTCTTCTCCCACACTTTCTCTCCATAACACTAAAAAGAAACTGTTAATAGAAGCAAAGAATAAAATTATGTCTAAACAATAATGAAGAGTAATAATATTTTTCATAATGGTTCAAATCATCATGCAGTGATCTGTTAAAACTCTGTTTTCATGATTTTTTTTCATCAGTTACTCACACAAATGCATTGTGATTATTACTGTTTTGAGTGAAATGCAAGTGAACTTTTTTTCAAGAAAAAACAAAGAAAAGAAGAAAACAAAGATTAAAGAGTGGTATACCTTTTAGAATCTGATCCTACACTTGCTGGAAGAAGATTAATAAAAATCCATTTTACAACTTTTTAGCTGTTTTCCACATAAAGAAAAGGAAAAAAAAAACTTTTATATTTTTTTCACCGGAATTTAGCTGAAATTGCGGCTTATTTGTTGCGAAAATTATGATGAAATTAAGAAGTAACGAACGCTCGAAACATGAGGGGGGAGATGTTGAACACAGTGTTCTTGATTTAGCAGAAGACCCTGCTGTTTTCTCTCACCAGAAATATGGAACCACCACTCTGAAGATTATAAGAAAAAAAAAAGAAAAAGAGATCAACGTTATAAAAATTATTTAGCCAAAAAAACATTATAAAAATTATTATATAAATTTTAGAATTAGGTATAAAGTTACAAGAGTTGAATAAAGCACCAGAAAAAGGACAAAACTAAGATTATGACAAAGGGAGGATCAAGTCTTTAATTTTATATGCTAGTATTGTCTTTGTTCACTTCAAGGTGCGGCAGCCATTGGAAGACTCACCAATAACTGTATTTTGATACATACAGTTTTTGCTGTCATTGTATATATGTGTGTTAGTGCATTCACGAGACTGTAATGAAAATGTTATTTTTATACGTATTTATTATATTAAGAAGAGAGCAGGTTTGGTGAAGCTGAAGCAGGTAGGTTATGGTCCTCTATAAGGAGGAACGTACATCACGAATATGTCGGGAGGGATAGAATAGTAGTTTCATTCGAAATATCTATCAAAAAATTAAGAAGAAAAAAAGAGAGTCGAGAGAGATTTAATAAAAAAAAAGGTCAACAGGCATGCACTATCAACACATTTTGCTAATAAAATTCAATATACAAGGACATAGTATATGTAAGTTTTGTATTACTTAGTATGCTGAATTTGATAGTATAAAGGCTTAATTTCCTATGTCACCAAACCTAGTTTATCAAGATCTTAACTCTCATCCAGAAGATGAAATTGCTACAGTTTTATGTACAGAATTAAAAAGTTCGGATTCTAAAAGGACAACTGAATAGCACTTGCCAAACTTTATTTATGATAGGACTTTGACGTATGCTAAAATCAGCAGAATATGAAAATATTCAACGATGTTCAGCTTTGTTAATTTAGACAACTATTAGCTAATCACCTACTCATATAGTTTGAGTTTTAATATATTTGTAAATGTAAATGCAAATATTATATAGCTTTTTTTTGTTAAAATGTATTTAATGAATATATTATATATGTAATGATCATTCCATCAAACGAAAGATATACCATTATATCATTTTTTTTTGTCGTCACCATTATATCATTTATAATCAAGTAATCAACTGAAAACTTGAAAGTAATATATGCCGACAGTTTCATAACGCATCACACACTACTAAAATATAATGAACATCTGTAATTTTTAAGTTGATAATTGATATGCGATTTATGAAGGTTTATTTTGCGTTAACAACACATGTTTTCTTTACATATGTACCCAACATATAAGGAAAAAGAAACACAGTAAAAAGGAAACATATTAGAAAACAAAGCTATGTGCAAAGGATATACAATATTTTTCCTCCACATTGGATCCCCCAACCCCAATACCTTTTTTTTTTTTTTTTTTGACAACGAACGGCTGATCTATTACTCAAACTTGAGGTGGTCTGGGAATCCAGACCGGAATAGAACAACCTACAAACACCAAATCACGATAAAAGGATCGAGCAGTCCTAGCTAGTGAATCAGAAACACCATTCTGAGTCCTAGGCACATAAACAATCCGAAACTCGGGAAAGCAAATCTGCAAGGTAGCTAGCTTTTCCAGTTCCGTTGAGAAGCTTGGCCAGTCCTGTGGCTTCCTTAACATTGATATCACCTCCTTACAATCCGTCCCAAAGCTCTGACATGGCGAATGTTGAAGCATGTTCTCCATTGCCCACCGCAGTGCTTCCAGCTCAGAATGCAAAGCCGACTCCACTCTATCAAAATTACGCAACCCCATCAGCTGACCTCTCCCCGTACTATCCTTCCAAACCCATCCACATCCGCTGTAAGGAGCCGTGGAGGTCCAGGAACCATCCACCAGACAGATATCCCCCAGACTTATGGTCTGGTTATCACCATTCATTTCGATCTGGGAGGGTAATGACGATTGTTCATTAGCTTGATACCAGGCAAGGCATTCACTTTCTGCATATCTTGCAGTTTCCAAAGGGTCTCTATCAATCCCTTTGAACAATTTGTCATTCCGAGCCTTCCAAATATACCAAATTAGCCATGGAAAGGGATCCATATCTACTACCGGTCCACCTATAGCATCCTTCCTCCAAAAGAGATAGTCCATATTCGCATAAGTGCTCTGCAAGGGAAATAAAGACGGGCTAGTGGGTAAAGACGACAAAGCCCAGACTTGCCTTGCCGGAGGGCACATGAAGATAGCATGTGTAATCGATTCCTCCGGTTCCCCACAGCGTGGACAATAGTTATCACATCGCATATGGCGATAGTTTAGGATGCTCGTAACAGCTAACTGACTCGATACTATCTGCCACATAAGATGGCACATCTTCTGAGGAGCTCTCACCTTCCAAGCTTGCGATTGTAGTTTAGTAATACTAGGCTCACTGACTACCGGCAATTCTTCCCAATACCTTTTAAATTGTCTTTTTAGACTGCTTTTACATTTGTCTTAAAGGTACATTATAACGTTATATCTAACCAAATATAAACCTTTATAAATTTAAAATATTGTTTAAATGTGTTTACTTTTGATATAGTTTAGCTTATTAGCATAATGTTTTAAACTTTACAATATATAAAAGAAAAGGGTGAAGATATATTAAAATTTCGAAGTCGTCATATTTGACTAAACTTTCGATAATACAAGCACTTATGATTTCATTACAAAAAAAGTGAGATGTCATCAGCATGCAATTGATCCAACCAACATGGTTGCGTATATGTCTGAAAAATGATAAAAATGGAGAGAGTGAATATTTTTCTGTTGAAACTAAAACATCACTAGTGGACGATTTCATATTGTTTCCACTAATCAATTATCCATTAATACAACCTGTTGTTAATTATCCCATTCGAAATCTCCGAAAATTGGCTGTTTTCAAAGCATACACACCATTAAACTAACGCTATCTTGTTGACAAAAAAACGCCATCTTCGTTATATATGTCAGATAATGTGACTGATACAGGCACTTATATAATTAACAACTAACTTAGCTGAGTTTATATATAAAATAATAAATTATACTATATGCTTATTTATTTCAATATTGTGTCGATACTATCTAGCTCTATAATATATCCACTGTTGTTCATAACAAGCTTAAAAGACTTTGAAAAGTCTGTAAATAATTGAGTTAGGTTTGTGCGATGTGTATGGTTCTTACTAAAACAAGTATAAAGTACTATTAAATGTAATACTAATATACTATATGTAGTACAAAACATTATTAGTGTCATTGATATTTTTTCTTTATATCTAGGTAGCAATAGTAGAATATTATACGTGTCGACTCAACTGTTAAACCCACGAACAAGACAAAAACTAGAATTGGAAGAAAATGGTCATCATAGTCTTACCAACTATGTTCCAACTGTTTATATTTAACTTTATCCTAAGTCTTTTTGTTGGGTAACATCAAAATATATGCTTACTAGATATCTTTTATGTTTTATTTTTGCTTGGCACGAAAATTATCACGATTGTGTATTAGGAAGTTTAAAAGAACAATTTGAAAATCCAACAAAATGGAATTGTAAGACAGAATATTGGTACGTAAAAAGAATACTGATGAAAAATGTACTTCTGAAAAATTGCAAGGTCTTTCTTCGCCGCACATCTTGATGTTCCTCTCTATATTTTGTTACTCGTGAAGGCTTAATGGCTTGATGCAACTAAAACTCTGCAGCAATTTTGTCTCTAGTTAAGGCTTAATGCTACTACGGCCCATACATACTGTTTATTATCTTCTAATAGAAAAGAGAAAAATATAGACTCTGGAGGCCTTGCCCATTTACCACATGCTTATTCCCAAAGTTCACGGTATCAAAACTAAACAAAAATCAAGAGACTAAAATTAAAATAGAAATTTGGAAAGTTAGGAATGCTTTTGTTTTTAAAACCAAGGTTATTGAGTCTTCGTTTATTGCTAAGAAAGTTTATGAAGAAGAATTTACATAATTTGATACATTCACAGGAACGAAGGATCGAGTGGGTGATGGCGATACGGAAATGGTTCGATGAAAAAAAACGCCCAATGATTTCCTCAAATGTAATATCAGATCCTCATGGATAAATTCAAATCATCTTAGTGATGTTTCATGGGTTTTACGTGATGAAGATGAGTGTACAATCATGCATAGTTATCAAGCCTATTCATATATGCGCACAAAACAAAGGCAGACTTGTGGGCTCTTTTTTGGGCGGTTGAATGTTTACATAATTTACATTTCTCAAATATTATTTTTGAGACCTCGTCGGAGAGCCTACATGATGTACTCACAAATCCTGATGAACACCATAACCACAGTCATATTCGTCACAATATCTCTTTTCTTCTTATAAAGATAAATTCATGAAGTTTGGATCACGATCTTCCTGAACGCAATGAAACTACAGCGGCAATTGCTTTAAGTGTCACTCGTGATCTACGTCACCAGTCGTACATCGCCTGAAATGCTCCGGTGCGGTTACAGTACTTACTCGCTTTAGGGGCTTAACAATAAGGGGATTTGGTGAGGTCCCTCCCATTTTTGTTTAGTGTCTAATGACATCTCATCTTATCTCTTTTGTTTTTTTTGTATCATCTTGAACTCTGCAAATCTAATAGTGTTATAAAAAAGAGATTTAAAATAGAAAAAGCCTACGGAGGGCCGACTAATCTTAATTTAAATACAAAAAATTCTGGACTAAACGTAAACTCACAGAGTTCAGGGACTTAAATTAATTTTATAGAGTCTACATGATATCACTAAATGCCCACTTTTGTGTTTAAAATTTTCCAAAAGTAAATAACAGTATTATGTACATTGGTCGTGTAATTAAACCTTGAATTGGTGATCTCACTTACGTTTAACTTATTGTTAGTCGCGTAGATTTCTCTGTAAAATTTTCTCTTGTTTCTATTGTAATACAAAAGACATGTTTGATATTATACAATTGGTCGTGTAATTTATTCAACTTTGAAATCATGATCTCACTGATGATGTCGTTGCTTGAATAATTTACATGTATCAGAGCGTTAAGTAATCAAAACTATCCTTTTCATATGAAATTAAACAACTATTTCTTTAAATTATCTAGAATTGTGGAAGTTACCTTGATCATGATCTTGATTAAGTTCTTAATCATTAAGACTAATTATCACGCGGCAAAAAAGACCAGGTCGTTACTAAAGCGATTAACGTGCCAGGGACACAATCCTAAAACACATAGAAAAAAATGAGAGATGAAGTACGTAAGCATGCATACGCAGCCTTGACGATACGCCTCAGATTGTTTACTTATGTTTTGTAAATTTCCATATCGCTTTCGTTATGTCGACATTACTCTTGACAAACAGAAACTATCACATTCATATTCTTGGATAGTCTCTTGTATTTGAAAGTCAAAACAATTAATTATCCATTTTATTATAATATACATGATTCATTTCACCTTCTGTGATAAGGCTACGGAACGTGTCAACACGGATACGTGATTGAGTAACGTGTTTTGCTTTATAATCCAAGCCTTCTCTATTCTCTCCATATATATATGTTCTTCTGTTTTGGCGTGACTCATCAAGTAATGTGTTAAATCAAATCTTTATCAAGCGTATTATTCTTTTTTGTATTTTTGTGTGATTTCTATATGGAAAGGAGTGACCATGACGTTAAAGATTCCGATGCAAGAAATGGTGAAATTGGTTGGCTCTTTAAGATTGTGTGGCAGGGATAACGGTGATGAGCCAGTGGTGGTTAGCAAGAGAGAGATGGTGATGGACGAGAAGGTCTATGTAGCAGTGACAGGGAGAGATCTAGAGAACAAGTCTAGTCTCGTTTGGGCGATACAGAACACTGGAGGCAGAGAGTTCTGCATCGTCTATGTTCATCGACTGATTCAGATCTCAGCTCGTAAGTATATTTCAACCACTTAGCAATCATTTTGTGTACAGTTTATGATTGAATCTTGTTTTCTTTATTTCAAGCTGGAGCAATGTTCAACGAGCAGAAACTGAGGAAAGAGAAGGAGAAAGCACATAATAATTTGGACAAGTACCTTACTATATGCAGGCAAATGCATGTATGATTTATCTTATCATCAATATGTTTTTTTTTTTAAATTATAGAAGAGATTTTTGGTTTCTTGACTTCCAAGTTAAATTGTGAATTAATTAGGTTAAAGCAGAGAAGATATATATTGAAATGGATTCAGTAGAGGAAGGTATACTCCAATTGATATCTCAGCGTGGAGTTAAGAGGCTTGTCATGGGAGCAGCAGCTGATAGACACTATACAATGTAAGTAGTTTAATTAGTATAGAGTCAAGTTTTAGCTATCTTAAGTATGGTTTTATTTATCAAGTAAAGTCTTCTTGATTTTGTAGGAGAATGAGAGACTTGCAGTCCAAGAAAGCTATTTGCATCCACAGAGAAGCGCCGGATACTTGCCATATATGGTTTACATGCAATGGATACCTAATCTGTACAAGGTTCTAGCCAACTCTGAGTCAAACTTTTATCATCTTTTGTGCTAACTATAAATATAGAGACTGTTTAGCTATGGTCTTTGAGTTTTGCTTGTAATTCACACTATATAAGTGTTGTTTTGGGTATAATGTTGATGCAGAGAAGCTACAAGAAGAGATAACTTGTATGTAGAAGGCACATCTTCAAGTTATTTGACCCAATCAGAGATAACTAATGGAACTGAAAGTGCTGCAAGTTCAAGTATGGCTAAAGATGATGTTCAGACACAAGTAGCTCTCATAGAAGCTGCAAGTGCAAAAAGGGAAACACGCTTTGAGATGTCTAAACGTGAAGAAGCTGAAAAATCTGCAGTTGATGCAATTAAAAGGGTAAAACAATAAATTTCTCTAACACTTTTTCTATAAATTTTTCTAACTCTTTATCTATGACAATAAATGTAGGCTAAAGAAAAAGAAAATGGGTATGTCAATGAGTTGAAACGTAGGAAAGAAACAGAGAAGGCACTGAAGGAAACGAAAGAAGAGTTTGAAAAGATGAGATTAGAAGCTGAGACAAGAATTGCCAAGTCTAATATGGTGATTAGAAACTTACAAGGAAAGTATAGCTTATCAATGAAAGAGTTGAGAAGATTTAGAGATGAACAAGAAGAGTTAAAGAGAGAGCTTATTGAAGTATCAAAGCTGAAGAGTAAGTGCAATGAAGAGGAAGTGTCTCCTTCTAAGGACCGTGAACCACCTCAGTACTTCATGTGTCCCATTACACAGGTAAAGAAACATTGTAAGATCAATAAAACTAAGTGATTAAAATGTTATAATCATAAAATAATATCATATATTATGTTTTGTAGGATGTGATGGAGGATCCATATGTAGCAGCAGATGGTTTTACATATGAAGGAGAGGCTATACGAGGTTGGTTTAATAGAGGGCACGAGACTTCTCCAATGACAAACAGAAGACTTCCTCACACAAGCTTGGTTCCAAATCTTGCTCTTCGATCTGCTATTCAAGAATGGCTTCAAGCCTCAAGCTCCTGAATCATCTCTGTTGTGGAATTTTTTTTTTGTATTTTGATATGGTATTGACTTTTGACATTTTGTCATAGTGTGTCATTTTCACAACCTTTTTTTTTTTGGAACACAGTCATTTTCACTAGCCGGTGGTTGTTGTTGGTACTTGGTATGAGTCAGTCTTCTGTAATATTCCTTTTCGTTATGATATTGCCTTGTAATTGATTTACTTATTGGTACTATTAATTTTGTGTAAACATAAAAGAATTCACAGATAAAATATGACATAGACATATGGTAGGAATATTATTTTAGGAATACACGTTTGGTGTATCCTTTATATTATAAAAAAAATAAAGATGGGAATTATTCCTTATGCTAGGAAGAAGACAGTATTGAATATTTTGAGAATGTAGTAAATTAGTAATGTAACTAAACCATGACAAATGTAGAGTAACTTATAAAAATAATCTCTCCTTTCCCAAAAATTTTTTCACATAGATTAAAAAAAAATGATTGAAGTTCATTTATATCATTAATAAATTATATTTGTTTAACCATGCGTATTTAAAAGGAATTATAAGATTAATGCATTTTGCAGTTAATATTAACTGTAAAAATATATAATTTTATTGTGATTTTAAAATGACATTTTTTGTGTAACAAGAAAAAAGTGTCCAAATAATAATTTTGTGAACGCATAGGAAAATATATAATAAGACAATTTGACTTTTGGAAACAAGCACGAAATGGCCCTGGAAGCTGAAAAAAAAATATAAAGGAGGTTGGCTCGAGTTTGATTAGGTCGTTGACGCTCAAAGGTCATGTCATTATAAAAAATGCACAAGAAATAATAATACATAGACAAAGTCCAGATGGAATATTCGAAAGAACAGAGTGACACCAGAAAGAAAGAGATGTCATGACACATGCCCCTCCATTGGATCTTTTCTTTCTTGATTCCAAATATATATTTGAAACATCTGAGAAAACAACAGCTTCTTGTCTCAAACGAACCAGCCATTCTCTTTAGATTTTCAGACACTTTTCCCAAGAAAAAAAAAGTATATGGAGTTTGGAGAGAAGAACATGGATGTGGAGGAAGCAGCAGTGATGGAGGAGATAATATATGTTGCTTTAGGGAGAGAAACTGCCAAGAACAAGTCAAATCTCATATGGGTTATAGATAACTCCCAAGGGAACAAGATCTGCATTGTTCTTGTTCACCAAACTCCTCAGATGATTCCTGTTTGTAAGTTTCTATTCTACCCCTCACTACAAATCCAAAGAGTCAATGGCTGTGATGACATGAAACTTACCATCTTTCTTTCTTTTTTTACCTTCCACAGTGGGTACCAGATTTGATGCTGCAACGGTAGATGAAGAGTTAGTGAGAGCATATAGAGAAAAACAAAAGGCTAAAACAGAGAAGATTCTTGATGAGTACCTCACAATTTGCCTGAAGAAAGGGGTATGTCTGCATATATACAAATGAGATATGAAGTTTGTGCCAATTCTAATGAGATTGGTTATTGCAGGTCCACGCAGAGAAGCTGTGCGTTGAGACTCCGGACTCAATAGAGAAGAGACTTGTGCAGATGATTACTGAGAATAAAGTCAGGAAGTTCATAATGGGAGCAGCTGCAGACAAACACTATTCAACGTATTGTATCTTTGGTTTCACCTGTTTCTTTTTATTATTCATCTTGAAACTGACATTAGTGTGTTCAATTTGCAGGAAAATGGAGGAACTGAGGTCGAGGAAAGCTATCTTTGTATGCCACTACGCACCTCCTTCTTGTCATATCCGGTTTATCTGCAAAGGACATCTCATCCACACAAGGTTCAAGCTCTCTCTTTATAGCTATATATAGAAACATTGGTAGATGCTGATGCATGTGTTCTGAAATCAATGTAGGGATGGTAGAAGGGATGAAGTGAGAGCTCTCTCAGCTCTATTATATGACTTTCAGCGCCTTGTCTCCTCGCGAAGTAGCTCCAGTTCATATATGCTGAGTGAAAGCTCAAAGGGGAAAAGCGAAGTGGAGGAAGAAGAAGATGAGGAGAGAACATCAAGAGCCAGCTCTTCTCAGTCTGATGGTACCTTGTCATACTCTGGAGGATCTGAGGCTTCTTCACCAAGTACAACAGATGAAAAATCAAACCACTCCTCTCCTCCTACCACTTTACCTGTAAGCACTACCATCCTGAATAAAAGACACAATCCTTTGTTTCTCTGTTTCCATTTCACCTGACTTTGAGTTGTTTGCTGATCCACCAGTGCGGTGGGATGGGACTAGGCATGATAAGCTTCATGATCCACTCCACCAAACTATGGCATAAGCGTGCCATCAAAAACCACAAGCAGTGTGAATGACCTCACCATCCATTACCTGAAAAAGCTACAGAGGAAGAACATAAAAGCTACAAAGATCTTGATCACAATCTGTAAATATAATGGCATGTAACTGTAATGTTTTTTAACACCCGTTCATGTGAGGTGAAACTGCTTTGTGATATTTTTTTTTTTCTCATCTTAAGAGAGGCTTGTAATGACTTAAAGAAAATGGAATCATCTTCTCCATATTATTATTATTCTTTAGTTTGAGAAAATACAGGAAAGTATTTTGAATTAAAAAGTGGTATACAAAGGTTGAGCACTGAGGAAAAAAGAAGAGCAAAACTGAATCCTAAAACTCTAGGATTAACGAAGAAGAAACAAAACTGTTGGGAAAAAACATTACAGGAGGAGGAACACCCATGAAACGTAACACCATTGTCTCTAATTGCTTACAAATCTAAATGTGGGGATCACCAAAACTGTTCCAGCCATTAGGCTAGCGTTATCATCTTCATTTTTGTCTTGCAGCTGGACCTTCAATGTTAAAGGAAGGCAAACCAAACTATCTCCCATCAGTCATCTATAAGCTATATATCCAAGACTCCATATGGTATATGTATGGTACAACATCATCATTATGATACATTATTACATTAGAGTGTGTGTGTGTGTGTACCTGTCAAACGCCTTGTAGCTCCATTTCCGTTTATAGAAAAGTGCACAGGCTGTCTTTCTTGTCCTGAAGATAGAACCCAACTTGAGTTGAGTCTCCGAGCAAAATCCTCTACTTCCCTGTAATTTACATGAAGTTAACCATTTATTATATTATATTTCTTTGACCAGACAATGAATAGTTTAAATTAATAAGTGATACACTTACCTATCAAGCATTTCTTTCAAAGCTGGATCAATTTCATCATCTATATAACCATCTTCAAACTCAGCCTTCGGTGAAAAAATATCATCTTCCATACTAAGTAAGTTAGATACACTTCCCAAGCTGGACGAAGTCTCATCAACACTCCGTTGCTTGGAATGCAGATTACGTGAATCCTAAGCACAAGGAACAAACTCAGATACTTGATTACTACCACCACAAAAGCAGTCACAGAGAAACTAGTTTAAACCTTATTGGAAACTTTGCATGTTCCATTTGATCTACCATTTTTATGTTCCTCCTTTTTCTTGTTCTTCTTTTTGCTCTTGGAAGTCTTTACCACCTTGTGATCTGCAGAAGATGAACCAAGATATCATCAACAAGGAAAATGATCAATAAAAAGCCCCAAGAGATTACAGAACAAGACAGTAATAATATGATACTAGGAACTCAACAACCTTATTAAAATAGCTTAGTGTAATGTAAACATCAAAGTAGGCTCAATACTTGAACCAATATGTGGTAACGTGGTGGCATCATGGAGAGATATGAAGATATAAAAAAGTACCTCTGCCATTAATAAATGATAAAAGGTCATCCACAGAACGCTCGTCGACATGTTCTTCAACCTCTATACTCTGCCATGGAAATACCAAAAAGTATAAAACTAAAGTTTACTTAACAAAATTTTGAGTAAAATACTAAACAAACCTTAAGTTTTGCTCTTTCTTTCAATTCCTTTCTCTTCTTAGCATACAATCTATTTAAGAGTCGAATACGTGGATCATCCATCGTGTTTTTCAGAGGCTCTAACTTCTCTTCCTAATAAAATCGTACCAAAAAAATTATAATAAAAAATGGAGGAGATGAGACTGTAACAAACTTATTAAAAGAGATGATTACATACCTCAGTAAGATCATCAGGCAGATGAAATATCTCACGTATCTCCTCAGGGGTTTTCCCTTCAATAATCCGTGCAAGAGCACGACTAGTAAGATCAACCAAAGGCTTCAACTGTAAACTGTCAGCAGCTGAGGTCAACTCACATAGCCGCTTTGTATCCATCCGCATGAACTTCTCATCATAAACTTTACGTTCCTAAAATAGTAATTTTTAAAAAAAACTATGAAAAAATGTGCATATATGATTATAAATTTGTCACTATCTGCTTCTAGTTGAAAGACATTGAGTAGACCTTATTTGAACGTCCAGGTACTTGATGGAATCTGCAGTAATCAAAAACCAAACTTAACATCGCTGGACTGACTTTCTGTGGAAGAGATATTGCATTGTTCTTAGAAGAACCAGCACCCTTCTGTAGCACTTGGTGGCATATCATGGGACAGAACATTGCAACCTCTTGTTCTACTTGTTGGATTGATCCATCAGATGTTTCAAGCCATATATAGGATTTCATCATCTGTTTTGATGCCACAGAAAGAACAAAAACAGTAACCAAGTCTCAGTCCGAGGTAAAGTAAATCAACTAGAAATTCAAAAAATTCTTACAATAATACATGAGATAACCACTAGGTCATGTTAAGTTGTTAAACCAATATGATGAAAACTAAAGACTAATCACAATTAAAAATAAAAAAATAAAAAAGATAGAACGAAGTAGACTGTTAACTTGTTAATTTGTTATGTATCCAAAAACTAATCATCACTATTGCATTTCAGCAAAAATATCTAACCGACTCTCTCTTATCCCTCTCACTAAACATTAGTTGAGCCATGAGATATAACTACCATACCTCTTTGTAGCTAACACAAGTTAACTAATTATACAAGTGGGTAGTAAATGATTAAGACACCAACAGTGAAAGTAATAAAAAAGGCTTACCTCTGGTTTAATGATGGCCATATCACTTTCCGACATTGATTTAAAGACCAATTCTTCAGCTATTAAGCTCCTTTGAGATAATAACTTATTACAATCTCAAGCTTCCACACTTATGACACTCCCCACAATACAAAGTATTTTATTGTTATTGACTCTTCAAGCTTCTCTCAACTCTGTAGTGCCACGTATGAAAGTTTCCAGGTCTCTAATTAGAAAGGTTTCTAGGTCAAAGAGCATTGAGCTGAAGCAGTGTCTGGAAACTTCACACTAAGCTGGTAAAAGAGAAGAAAATATTGTAAAAATCACATACTAAACCTTACTTTAAATCTGGCAGGCTAATCCATAACAATCTACACAAGTCTAAATTAGCAAAATTTAATTTCAATTAATCAGAGATTTTAAGTCTAAATTAGCAAATAGAGATTAATAATATTCAAATTTAATAAACGATGTAATAGATAGGAGAATACAAGCGGTGTCGTACCTTATAACCGGAGGAGGAAATGAGAGGCGGCGGTGGAGGAGAGAGAAGCTGAATCTAACGGCGGCGACGGCGGTAGAACAGAGCAAGAAGACAAGACAGGAGATGTGATAAAGAGAGAGAGAAAAGAAAGGGCTGAGTTTTTTGGGATTTTTTTAAATTTATAATCAAGAGAGAGAGAGAGTGGCGCGATCAAAGCCACGTGTACGAGCTGTAATGGCTCATGGCTCGAGATGGTTTTAAAAACACGGAAACAGAAACTTATTAGGGTTAGTTTTAGTTTTAGTCAGATGTTTAAACACGGAAACAGAAACTTTTAGGGTTAGTTAGTTAGTCGTTTGATGGAGTCGGTGAGGCTTTTTACTTTTGAACTGTTGTGTGAGTGGTTCGATTGCTGTCTTTGACTTTTTTATTCCTTTTTTTGTCTTTTATTTATTTTTTGGATATTATTGTGTAATTGTATGGGCTTTCTAATCCGTATATATCTGACCCATTTATATTGGCCCAAAATTTTACGGAATTTTGTATATTTTTATTCGTCACAGACTAGGTCTATCACAGACCATTTATAACTAAGGAAAGCCTTAAACGGAGCCCAAGGGATACAAATTATATAAGTGCATGGTGCATGGCCATTTTAGATGTTTTTTTTAGCAGCCTTATGTAGCCGTTTGTGACATATCATGGAACACTGCAACCTCTTGTTCCACTTGTTGGATTGGTCCCCATCAGTAGTTTTAAGCCATATGTATAGGATTTCATCATCTATGTTGTGTTGATATATGCCACGGAAAGGGATAGAGTAAATATAGAATGGTCCAAGCAAAGGCAACCCTGAAGGGAAGCCAAAGAATCATAGGCTTCAAACCATTTTTGTTTTAGTAATTTATCGGTCACAAAATTTACAAAAATCTTAAGTAGTTTAGTGGTTAGTTAAAGCTAATATAGAAATGTAGATAATGGATTAGATTCTTTGCCGCAATAATAGGTTTTATTTTTTAAATTGCTTCTGGCTTAAAAATATTTCATGAGATAGAATATAAAACATTCCAAACCAAAAACATACAAGAATATATTGTGCGATCATGTAAAGTGGTATGATGGAAAATAAAGGCTAATGGCAAAACCCTAAGCCTAGAAACAACCATTGGGGATAGAAAGTTAGGGACTGAGAGTCAGTGAGGCTCTAGAAAGCTAATATATATTGATAGGGTGATAGGCTGTTACTACTGTATTTGTTGCGTTATGTCTATCTTTTCGGTCGTTATTGTTTATGGCTAATGAGTAGTTTTCACTGGGACCGCGACACAACGGAGATGGTGGGGGTGGCTGGCTAGAGTGGCCAACGCAATCATGAATAGAAAACCAGAAAATATATTAAAAAAAGCCTTCAAAATAAATATGGTGCCTGAAAGGACAAATGGCATTAGGTGAATGGACGGTTTTGGATAGGTTAGGCGCCGGCTTTATACGTAACGTGCTGCGTGTCTTTGTTGATTAGCTGGACGGCTATGAATAATTTGAGTTTATATTCTCTCTCTCCATCAGAAAGTTCAAAACTATTTTACACATGCCTTTTTCCCTCTGTTATGTTGGGTTAAATGGGTCGGTCGTTTTTTAATGGTCAGAGATTTAGGGTACAAAGTTTCACTTTTCATTTAGTTTTAAATTGCCAATGTGGATTTGAATTTTGAAACACTAACAACTGTTGGCATTTTTATAAACTTTAAAAAAAAAAATTGGTAATTCTCGTATGGTTTTAGACCTTGAAGGCTTGAACTCTCTATGAATGGTTAATAACAGTTTAGAAATGCCCTGGTGATTGGTGATAAAGAACTTCGAGAAATAAAATGGTAATCAAGAATGGCCCCACTTAAAAATAATATATACTCCAATTAGCAACCACTAAGTTTTTTATTTGTTACCTTGTCTTTCGTAATTGGTAATTAGTACACTACCACTCTATCTATAAAACTGTTTTATAATTCTCAAATGGTAATCAAGAATTGGTGCATAATGGTGAGGCTGTATTCAAATGTTCTTACGCTGGCAAGCGCGCGCCAGATCATCTAAACTGGACAATTTCTATTGTTAATTTGTATGTTTTGTTCGTAGCCTCGTAGCAGTTGGTAAGTAATGAATTATTTAGTGACAACCATGAGGATTTTCTTAAAACAATCAACATTGATCTTTACATTTTCTTAATAAGTTTAAATACATTTTTTAAACTAGCAAAAAATAGCTGGAATGTAGCACTCGAAACTCTGTCCAGGCGCTTAATATATCACTGACCCCAATAATTAAGCTTTATCATTAACATGATGATTGATTACTATACAGATAACATAAATAATTTTCATGTTATTGTCAATATTGTCATGATCTTTATTTTATTTCCACCATTTTCTTTGCATTATCTTCCAACTATAAAGTTCACCACTCTACTCGTCAAAACTCACCACAACACAGAGAAGAAAACCAAAATCAAAGCCACTGTTTTTGTCTGAGATCAAACAAAAGATGGAAGGCAAGGAAGAAGACGTTAGAGTTGGAGCTAACAAGTTCCCTGAGAGACAACCAATAGGGACTTCAGCTCAGAGCGACAAGGACTACAACGAGCCACCACCAGCGCCGCTTTTCGAGCCTGGTGAGCTTTCTTCATGGTCCTTCTGGAGAGCTGGTATCGCTGAGTTTATAGCTACTTTCCTCTTCCTCTACATCACTGTGTTGACCGTCATGGGAGTTAAAAGGTCACCGAACATGTGTGCTTCCGTTGGAATCCAAGGTATCGCGTGGGCTTTCGGTGGTATGATCTTTGCCCTTGTCTACTGCACGGCTGGTATCTCCGGTAAGTCACTCACCTTAACTTCGGTTTGATATATACTCTTCCCATATAATATGTTTAACATAATTTTTGATTTTTCAAAATATAAGATGTTTCGAGTTAATTTAACTTTATTAATAGCCGTGTAACCAATTATATTTATAATAGATTTTATAGTAGATTTTTTGTGTTTTTTAGGTAAAACTAATTCTATAAAATGTGTGATTTCACCTAAAACATCTTATACTTTAGAACATAAAAAGTATATATTAATCTTGTGTCCATTTGCCTAATCTTGGAGTGTTTTTTTTGTCACTCTCAGGTGGACACATCAATCCAGCAGTCACTTTTGGTCTGTTCTTAGCCAGGAAACTGTCGCTCACCAGAGCTTTGTACTACATAGTGATGCAGTGCTTGGGTGCCATATGCGGAGCTGGTGTGGTTAAAGGGTTCCAGCCTAACCAATACCAGGCTCTAGGAGGAGGAGCCAACACTGTGGCTCCTGGATACACCAAAGGAAGTGGTCTTGGAGCTGAGATCATCGGTACATTCGTCCTTGTCTACACAGTCTTCTCAGCTACTGACGCCAAGAGAAACGCCCGTGACTCTCATGTCCCCGTAAGTAAACTAGTCCATGGAACATAGCTGCTGTATAGATTATGAAATGATTGAACATTTTAAGACATTTAAGTGTACATATTGTTGCTTAATTATCGCCTTGTTTATGACTACTTTGTGCAGATTCTTGCACCACTCCCAATCGGGTTTGCGGTTTTCTTGGTTCACTTAGCAACCATCCCAATCACTGGCACTGGCATCAACCCAGCAAGAAGTCTTGGAGCTGCTATCATCTACAACAAAGACCATTCCTGGGACGACCACGTTAGTTTTCCACAAACTATTATATACTAACTTCTGTTTGGATTGTTTTTTTCTCTGACCATTTAGTTTCTGTTTTGGCCATTTTAGTGGGTGTTTTGGGTTGGACCCTTCATTGGTGCTGCACTTGCTGCTCTTTATCATGTGATTGTCATCAGAGCCATCCCCTTCAAGTCCAGAAACTAAGTAAAAACAAGTCATTTATTCCTCTGGTTTCTGATCATGTGTCCTAAGTTGCTTCTATTGTTAATCCATATGAGTGAAATGTGTGTATGTATGAACGTATGTGCCCTCTTATTTGATTATTGCAATCAGTGTATCTTGTAAACAATGAAGAATTTCTCAAAGTTCAACATAAATCATTTATTTCTTAAAATCAAAATGGTTTAATCTGGATTTTGGTACAAGAATAATGCTATTCAGATAGCCGGTTCGTTTTTTACATTCCTCAGGTTCAATGTTATTTTCGTTTAAGGTTCTTAGGTGAAATGGTTTATTTTAAACGTGTGGTAGACTGGTAGTGTCACCTACTTCTCAAAGGAAGATGGTCCCACTTGTAACATGCTTTACAACAAAGCACGAAGATTCCTTGACATAAATTTAACTTAACTGAATAAGAAAAGAAGTTAAAATTTCCAACAACTGACTCTATATTGCATTATTCCACTAAGTGAAAGATGATGAGTTTGTGTATAACTCTGACAAGAACCCTTCACTTACCACCAATATTATACATTTTCCAACACTCCCCTTAGTATTCGTTATATTAAAAACAGTGTGATTAAGGGTTGGTAAAGAAATATAACTGTACAGATAAAAGCAGTAAAACTTGATAGTACAAACATGAATTCTAATAGATATAACATCATAGTAATAGCATAAAACAATAATGGTAGTATCCATCCATAGTGATCGATCTTGAAAATTTAAAATCAAATATAAATATTGAAATCAGCTAACTACTTATGATTAGGATAGTATTTGTTTTGAACTGACATCCAATAAGGATTGAGTGCCAGAAAAATTAAATTGCATTACCAACGTAAATGCTAACGCCTACACTTTTGTCTATATCTGTTTTAATATTGATCTTTTTTTTTTTGTTTTCTAGTCGAACATTTTATATTTGAATACTAGCACTAAACACTAACCACTAAAGGAAGATTATACAATGTCTTTCTCTCGTATTCAGAGCCATTTATATGATTGGCTTGCTTCTCCACCTTTCACTCATCTTCTCCTACTCTACCAAAGACTCTTGCCTTTTGCTTGACTTTTGGCTCTCTCTCTCTCTCTTTCAACTTTTAGTTTCGTTTGCTCTGTTTATTCACCAATGGCTACTATCTGGAGGAAGTTGCTGAAGACAGAGACGATCCCCCGCATCAGCCAAAGCACGAGGAAGCTCTTCTCC